TTTCGCTTGTTCACATTACTGACAGATGGAGCCAAGTCTCATGCTAAACCCACTTATCTTGCGCAGAACGTCAAATGAATGGTTCATTCTCTCTCTCCTGAGGGCATTGTGAGACGACGTCCTTTCAGGGTAGCACGCAGATACGACACCGATATTCATACTTTATTTATAAATAATAGCCTGCTGGAATGCTTCAAGCTTTTTAAAAATGGTGCCCCAGACCACGCCTTCTAACGTACACGCGTGCTCTTTTCTATGGTTGTGTCTGCATGTATGTATTGCTTGACAATACCAATCAATCAATCAATCAATCAATCAATCAATTTTATTTGGCATTCATTACAGCAAGATAATGAACACGAGGACAAGAACAAAAAGCTGCTATACAGCAGCTTGACAAAGGTCCTTGCCCCAATTCTCGACAGCCAAAAACAACCTACCATGCATTTAAACATCTCTAATTTCACATTTCTATTAAACATTTTCGGTTATCACATCTAGCAGAAAAATCATGAAACAGTGCATAACGCAAGCGGAAATAATGTAGAATAATGGAATGCACAGGTTATTTCGCACAAATGAGATGTACAAAATTTGTATGCGCAATAAAGACCATTATGCATCATGTATGTAAACATCTTAACAAACTGAGAAGCTTGTATAACAGGCAAATTTTTTGATAAAAAATAACTTAACGTAACGCGCACTACTACTTTGAAGATAAGTGCTCACCCACATACCGTTTTATTGCACTTCTTGAAGATCTTTGTATGCAAATGCCATTTCTTTCAAATTCGTTGAGCAAGCGTGGCACAAGGTATGACAGACTGCTCATCCCATATTTCGTTCGCGAAAAAGGTATGAGCCATCTGTCTCTCTCCCTTATGTTATATGAGATAGCTTTAGGTATAGTCAGCTTGCATAATAACAAAAAACTATGGTTGTTGCATCGGAAGTATTTTTGGCATTTTAAAGCGAGGTTAACGTTATAGAAATTTTCGAGGGGGCAGATCTTAAGGGTGGAAAATAGTTCTCCAGTATTGGCATCATACTGAACATTTGCTATGTGACGAACTGCTCTTTTCTGAAGCACACTCAACCTATGTAAATTGACTTTTGTAGTGTCACCCCATACTAACTGACAATACGTTAAGTGAGGGGAAAATAGGGCGTTATAAATCATGCGTTTAACGCTCCTCGGTAAAGTATAGCGCAGTCTACAGAGCACCCCACAGGCTTTCGCTAAACGGGTGGCAATGTGATCAACATGATCATTCCAAATGAGATGATTGTTAAAAACAACTCCCAAGGTTTTGACGTTAGATGCAAGTTCTATGCGAGCAGATCCAAGCTCCAATCTGAAATCTTTAAGATCATGTCGTTGCGGCGGGGTGAAAAGGACCGCCTTAGTTTTTGCTGTATTCAGTTTTAATGAATTAACGAAGCTCCATTCGGCTAAGCATTTCAGTGCACTGTTAGAGATGACCGAGAGAGTACTTATGTCACTTGATCTCAAGAAAATGCTGGTGTCATCTGCATAAACTATGAAGTCAGCGTCATTAGAAATATTTGTTATATCATTGATATAAATGTTGAATAGTATGGGCCCCAGTATGCTACCTTGCGGTACTCCTTGAGTTATTTTTTGTAGTGTAGATTGTTCTGACATGATGGCAACGCATTGCCTTCTGTGCTTTAGATACGAAATTATTAACTCAAGAGGAGTGCCACGAAATCCGTAATGTTCTAGTTTTGTAAATAAAGTGCGGTGATTCAGGCGGTCAAACGCCTTAGAATAGTCAACAAAGATACCCAACATAAATTGTTTATTTTCAAAACTGTTCAAGATTAACTCTTTTTGTGTTAGTAGGGCAAGTTCTGTTGACATTCCTTCACGGAAACCGTACTGTTGCGCTGTTATGATCGAGTGTTTATCGCAGAAAGCCGTTATTCTTTTGCAAATAATTTTTTCCAATCCTTTTGATATAACAGGGAGAACAGACACTGGCCGATAATTCGAGAATACATTTCTGTCACCAGATTTGAAAATGACGCTAACTTTCGCGCATTGCATTTCCTGAGGAAAGATTCCGGCACATATTGAAAGATTAAAAATGTGAGTAAGTGCAGGTGATAAGATGTCAGCCACAAACTTTATCGGTCTTATCTGTAACCCGTTTATGTCACGTGCTTTGCTATTTTTTAAGGACATAAAAGTTTGGAAGACTTCATCGGAAGTTGTGGGCGCAAAAAAAGCTGTGTATGCATTGCGCGGACCTAAAAATTCAGTCGCGGCAATATTAAAATCGCTTTTTTCCAGACTAGTAAAATAATCGTTAAACTGATCTGCAAGTTCTACGCCTTTTATGACCCTGTGATTATGTATTAGCTCAAGCTCAGCAATCTGGCGGTTGTTGCGGTTTAACAACTGGTTAATTTCGCGCCAAAGCAAGTCGCTCCGACTACTTATTTGACTACTTATTTGACTACACCCTTAACTAGATGTGTTCAATATCTTCATTTTCTACCTTTTCCCTACATTTCAATAGCAAATTATCCCGCCACAACGTGTTTTAGCGGAATGATTGCTTTGTGTTAAGAGTACGCTACCCACAATTTCTTGAAAATGTAAATGCGCAAAACGCGTCTTATTGAATATTTTCAAAAGTGAAATATATTTAGGGAAATGTAGCCGATCGCGCTCAAACGTTTTCAAAATATACCTCAAAATCATTCAAATAGTCCAGATTTAAAAATTGAGAAAAAAATGTTAGCTGTGATTGCAAAAATATGTGTCGGACAGTGTTGCTTACGGCACATGAGAAGTGAGAACAATTTCTTTTGTGACATAGATATAAGGGTCAGTTCTTGTGGATTTGTAATAATACAAATAACATGCTCATTGAAACGAACACACCAGGGGCGTGGCTGGGCCAAGACGAGACTTTATTGCGATAGCGCGGGTTAATGTAGCGTTGTGCGAGAGGGGTTAAGGGGAAGGGAAGGAGAAGAAGCAGTGGTGATAACGGCGGCTTCGGCTGGCGTGACGTCACGGATACATCATTCCGCTCCCCCTACGGTGAGTAACGGTCTGGGGGTTTGCGTTGCCGGCCCGAGCGACGCAACACCGGAGTTGAGGGGCTCCCGGCGATCTCGCTCCTTGTTGGCGCTCGCCTCGGTGTTCCTCCTGCTAGGGCCCCGCCGGCAGTTTCGAGGCACCGAGAGTCACCGACTTCTCCCTGGTCATGCTCCAACTCCCGTGGCTTCACCTGGTCGCTGTGGTGCCTAATGGTTTCCCCCTCCGGACCATCGGCCTTCACCAGGCGGGCTCCGTCTGTCGATGTAATGCTGGCTGGAGTCCACGGCTCGCCTCGCCCGAAGTTCCTCACCCAGACTGGCTCCCCGGGCTGCCACCCATCGAGGGGGGGACGGTCACTGGTGAGGGCGGAATGGACACTGCGTTGTCCAGCCTGGAGCGAAGATCGTAGCCCATTAGGAGTTGCGCTGGTGTCCGGCCCCCGGCCTGCGGCGTCCTGCGGTACCTGTGCAAAATCCTAGCCAGGCGGGTTTTCAGTGACCCTTGTACATTCTTCTTCAATGAATACTTCACCGTACGAACCGCCCGCTCCGCGAGCCCATTGGACTGGGGGTGATACGGTGCTGTTCGGAGGTGTACTATGTTATTCAGCTTCGTGAAGGTGTTAAATTTCCAACTCGTAAACTGTGGGCCATTATCGGATACCAGCGTCCGGGGCAACCCGAATGTACTGAACAAGGTGCGCAGAGCCTCTATGGTGGCGTGTGTGGTGGAACTCTTCATGGGTATCGCTTCTATCCACTTACTATGTGAATCCACCACAATCAGTAGCACGTGACCATCGATCGGCCCCGCAAAATCGATATGCAGCCTCGACCAACGCTCATCCGTTTCTGGCCACGCAACAGGGGGTTTCTTTGGGGGCATAGGGGCAGCTTGGATGCAACTGGTGCCGGACTTAACCATGTGCTCAATGTCATTATCGATCCGGGGGTACCACATCAAGGAGCGCCCTAGCCGCTTCATTGAGCAAATCCTTGATGAGTATCATGCAGCAGACGTAACATCACTGCTCGGGCACTCTTAGGGACGATCACTCGATGGCCCCAGTATAGAAGCCCATAACTCCCCGTTATCTCAGCTTTCCGGTTGAAGTATGGCATCAAGTGCTGGTCCTTAGGCCCCAAATTTCTTGGCCATCCCTCCTGCACCCATTTTTGCACCTTTGCTAAATCGTCATCAAGCTCCGTGAGAGTGCCCAGTTGCTTCGCAGACATGACACCATCATTGAGGGTCTCCGTGAGCAGGACATACTCACCGTCCACAGTTTCTTCCTGCGTCTCTGGCTGGGAAGTTGCTGACGTGGGGACTCGGCTGAGGGCATCTGCTGGAATGTTGTCTTTCGCGGGCTGGTGTTTGATGACGTAATCGTAGGCGCTCAGCAGCAGGGCCCACCGCTGGATTCGCGCAGCGGCCATCACGGGCACTGGCCTGTCTGGGTGAAAAAGTGCAACAAGCGGCTTATGGTCCGTCATCAATGTGAAAGTACTGCCGAGCAAGTATTGTCGGAATTTCGACGCACCAAACACAAGTGCCAAGGCTTCACGCTCCAGCTGCGAGTAATTTTTCTCAGCTCCAGTCAATAACCGAGAGCGGAACCCTATGGGCCGAAGTACCCCGCCCCCGACATCGTGTGAAAGCACTGCGCCTATTCCGTCCGGGGAGGCATCGCATTCCAGGACTAGTGGCTTGTGTGGGTCAAAATGCGCCAGAAAGTCTGCGGATTTCAGAAGGTCTTTCACACTGCTGAATGACTGCTGTAGAGTGGTATCCCACTTCCACTTAGCTTCCTTCCGGAGTAGTTGATATAGGGGTGCCATGGCGATGATGCATTGGGAAGAAACTTGTGGTAGTACGTTACCATGCCGAGGTAGGACCTTAATTCTGCGCAATTCCGTGGTGCCTAAACCTTAAGGATGGCGTCTATGTTTTCCGTCTTTGGTTGAAGACCTCGAGCGCTGATTCGATGCCCCAAAAAATCCACCTCTAGTTGGCGGAACTTGCACTTGTCTGCGTTCAGGCGCACGCCGTATTCCCGGAAACGCTTGAATACTTCGTGCAGGGTGGTGCAGTCATTGCGTTTCTCTGCCACGATGACGTCGTCTAGGTAGACCTGAACACCCGGAAGTCCCTGCAAAATGGTCTCCATACGCCGTTGGAACACGGCCGGCGCGGACGCCTCTCCAAAAGGCAGGCGAGTAAAGCTGAACAGTCCCTTATGCGTGTTTATGGTCGTGAGTTGCATGGCTTCCTCATCCAACGGAAGCTGGTTGTATGCCTCCCGCAAGTCTATCGTGGTAAAAACTTCACCGCCATTTAATGTAGTCAGGATATCCTCCACCCGTGGCAACGGATATTGCTCAGTGCGACAGGCTTTGTTGACCGTTAGCTTAAAATCGCCGCAAAGGCGGATGCAGCCATTCCGTTTCACTACCGGTACCACTGGCGCCGCCCATTCCGCATGAGGCACCGGTACAATAATACCCGCGCCCGAAAGGCGGTCCAGTTCCGCGTCGACCTTTGGCCGAAAAGCATACGGAACTTCGCGTGCTTTCCAAAACTTCGGCACCACGTTTTCTCGCGTCTCGAAGTGTACCGGTGGCCCTTTTATGAGCCCTAAACCTGGCGCGAACACATCAGCGAATTCTGCTAGCAACCGGTCCACGTTAACGTCGTCAGCACCGAGTAACGGCAGTTGCTCACCTGACGTGTTTACGTTCATTACCGGTGCCTCGAGCATGTGGAATGCTTGAATCAGGTCACGTCCGCAGAGGTTTGGGCTGGAGCAACCAAGGACTTGCAAAGATCCAGCCGTCGACTTGTTTCCGCACGAAACCTTGAGCTGAAGTTGTCCCCGCACTGGAAGCCGTCCCAGGAAGCAGGTGAGTTTCAATGGCGAACCACGCAGCTTCGGCCACACTGTTTTGTTCCGCTCATATGTGGGCCACGTGATGACCGAAACCGGCGAGCCTGTGTCGACCTGCATGTTCACTGGAACCCCACCACAATCCAAGGTGCGCACGATGGGTTGCGTAATGCCGACGTGGCCGATGTGACTGTCCGCTGCCTCCAGCGCGAACATACCGTCCGTGCCAGTGTCTTCCTCCCGTGACAAGGCGTGTACTTGGCGTTCTGGTGGTACCACTCCGAACCCACTCTCACGGCGGCAACAGGCTCGAGCGATATGACCTCGTTGTTTACACTTGAAGCATGACGCCGAGCGGAAGCGGCAATCCTCGGGTCCGTGCCCTTTTGCTCCGCAGCGGTAGCACCCAACAATCTGTGGCCGGCTTCGTGGGCGATAGGACTGGCCTCCCAGCGCATGCACACTTGCCTCAGCGGTGGGGCTTACTATCTCTTGCGCGTTGGCCTCGGCCATTTCGGTAGATATCGCAATTTCTTCCACTTCGCTCCTCGTCAGCTGTGGTTTCGCGAGTAGCTGCCGACGCACTCCGACGTTGTGCAGACCACACACGATGCGATCTCGTAGCATTCTGTCCAACGAAGCACCAAAATTGCAGGTGTCCGCTATCTGTCGAATCGCCACGACAAAATCCTTGACCGGTTTGCCGGGCAGCTGATTGCGGGTGAAGAACTTATAAGACTGTGCTATCTCGTTCGGTTGCGGCGAGAAGTGCTGCTTAAGCAAGGCTATCACTTGTGGGTACGAAAGTTCATTCACCTTATCCGGAGCACAACGTCCGCTCAGTACGTCGACGGTGTGGGTGGACAGTGCAGTCACCAGCAGGGCCCGCTTCTTGTTGTCTTCCGTGATGCCATTTCCCTCAAAGAAGGCTTCCAGCCGAACCTGGTACGCGGGCCACTTGTCGCTCGCCTCGTCGAACTGCGGCGGGCTGGCGTATCCTCCCGTGGGTGCGGCGGTCATGACGGACGGAGTTGCCGCACCGCTTTCATCCCATCCTCGTCGCCACTGAAACGAACACACCAGGGGCGTGGCTGGGCCAAGACGAGACTTTATTGCGATAGCGCGGGTTAATGTAGCGTTGTGCGAGAGGGGTTAAGGGGAAGGGAAGGAGAAGAAGCAGTGGTGATAACGGCGGCTTCGGCTGGCGTGACGTCACGGATACATCACTCATAAGCGTGAGAAATATCCCGCCCATACTTTCTTTGCCTTTTCAAAGAAGGCACATTGAGTTTACTACACCAAACTGAAGTTTCGTGCTCTTCCAGAAGGAAGAGGAGCTATGGGTTAAGAGTATAAGTTTGGAGCTTACCATTTTTTGAGAAGCATAGAAAGTTAGATTTAGAAATATTACGCAATGCGGAAGACATAAACTTGAAGCCACAATATTTTGGTCAGCCTACCAGACCCCCTTGATAAGAAAATGTTCATTTCTGAAAACAGCAGACACCTAGATTACTGAGTTCGTAGTGCAGTGCATCTAAGACGCGCTGCGTAAGGTGCAGAAACTGTGTTCACTGAGAAAAAAAAAACTTGGCCAACGAAAGACCTGACAACTTTAGTCGGAATGGTGTGATAATGACATTTGCGGCCATATTTGAAACGTACTCAAAAGCTGCTCAATATTCAGTTCAAATAACTTTTCCGCAGACAGTGAAGGGACTTTGTGTCGGATATAACTTGAACGTCTTGAACTTTACGCGTTAACTCGGGCTACGTCCAGTACCTGAGGAAAATGTTGTTGGAGAAACATCTTACTTTAGCAAAGATGGGCTAGACATTTAATTATTTACATGCGTGCACTAGGAGAAAACACTTTGCATTTCATCTACAAAAGCTTTAAAGCAAGAGTAAGGGCTTGAATATGATCACATGCAACATTATTAAAAGTACTATTCGATGAAACAAAATATTCAAATAGTGACATTGTCGCTGAACAAGCACACCGATTAGGGATTGAGTTTCGTTCAGTATTGGGTAGGGGTCATTCAAATATTGTAATAAATTAGCTTACTCTGTCTACTCTAAAACAAATAATCCGCTGGCTGCTTCCAAAATTGATTTGCAATGACGCTTTGTGTCAATGAAAATTCGATTCAAGCGCACATTATCGTTTGACTTTGCTAATAACAGATAACATTTGTTGTAGATATGAATTGCCTCAATTATACGTAGGCTTTCTTTCACTGCTGAAGCTACACGTTCGTGATGCTGCTGAAGAGTGTACGTTTTGTTGAGCTGGAACTGTATTTATAAGTGTGGGCAGTCTCATCCAAAATACGTTCTCAGTAATTGTTTCTACAAAACGTGTCATGCTCAACACCATCTTTATGGCGCCGTTTAAGCAAGGAATTCAAAGGCCGCTTTTAATATTCTTGAATAAGGGCGCATACGCGCAGGATCTTTGTGTAGTGTTGACAATGCTCAAAACTTTAGAAATGTGTGTAGTCGTAAAGATTTCCAAGAAAATGTGTTTGTTACCTAATGCCCGCTAGCAAAATTTTTCTCCTAACATACTTGGTGCTCTTCACTGAAGTGGGCATTGGAGCTCGTCGTCGTGCATTTTATTATTGTGTACTTTCTCTGTCATGTTTCGTCGTCGTGTAAAACAATAAATCAAGGTGTTTCCCAAGGCTCACTACTAGGTCCCTCATATACTTTTTTACTCTACAATAATGACCTTTCTGGCATCATAAACAAGGCTGACTGTGTTTTATATGCTGACGAGACTACCATTTCTTTTGCTGATAGTTGTGTTACTAGTGTCACTAGTAAATTAATTGCTACACTTTCAGACGTGTCCATGTGGCATAAAGAAAATAATCTAGCTATAATACCAAACAAATCTTAGTTTATGGTTTTTAGATCACCTCAACGCAAGTTAACTTTATAGCGAGGGTTTACCATTGACTTTCATTTTAATAATATCAGTACCAGCGTACCATTTCTTGGTGTTATACTTGGTGCAAACTTTAAATTCAAACTTCATATTTCTCACTTTACAAAAATGTCAGTGTTCAGAATTCGCGCATTACTTAAAGCTCGCTCATATTTTTCTCATAAAGCACTCCTTTCTGATTACATCATGTTCATGTATTCTCATATCACTTACAGTATCGCTTCATGGGGTAATATCTTTCATTTTTAAAGCATTTTTAAAATAGAGCCCTTCATGTTATTTTTATTTGTCCTCGCGACAGTAATATCACTCACCTCCTCTATTGTGATAACATCCTAACTGTTAGCTACTTATTTAGTTTTGTTTTTTTTGTTTCTCTATTAGCAAATAACACAAGAACTTTCTACCAATTTTATTGAATATGAACATTTAGGTAATACTAACACGACCAGGTTTGCGGCTAACGACTTCCTGCTTCCTAAGGTTCATACTAACATAGTAAATCATCTCGACACTTCTGTGTCATCTCATTATGAAACTTCTGAACCGCATCACTAATGTCTAAAATTTCTATGATTTCATTCAAGAAGTCATACAAGCATTATTTTTCAAATGTATGAAGTTTTGTAGTTAGGTGTACCAGATTTATTGCTATATATTGTACTAATAAAATGTGTTTTAGTAAGACGTCGTTTTCTTTAGTTTAGGCATTCCTTGTTTGTTCAGTTGTTCCAGTGTTGTGGTGCTTTTAAGGTTACTCATTACATGCTATATTTTTGTTTTTGGTTCTTATATGCCTTCTTGCTTTTCATGCTCACGTTTTTCAGCTCTGGCTGCTGCTTTATTTTTATTTTTTTGTAACCTTAACCGAGGGACCCGTTGCAGTCGCGTACTTTGGGACCCTCGTCTGTATAATTTATATTTTAAACTTATTCTTTTCGTCCTAATAAAACTCATTTGATTTAAAGCAGGTACAATGATTTGAAGCAGGTACAATGGATGCTGAGGCGGGAATTTCCGAATCAAGAAAAAATGTAACTAGACATTGGTTTAGTACGCATTCCTATTTCTGATGGCACACCTCTCAGTGTTGCTTTTTTGTTCATTTGGTAGTGCATAAGAACGTCCATGTGTGGCATGGGCAGAATTGAGTGATGGCAGAGCTTGAGATTTACTCAATCCTGTCTTGCGGGGTCTTGGAGCGTCGTAGTAGTAAATTATTTGCGCTGTTTTGATGAGTGAGATTCAAGTGCTTAGCATAAATTTTTTACCTTCAATTACCATGGGCCTTCTTTGATGTCTTCCGTGTTGTGAACGTCTATTCCATCTCCGTTATCAGCTGTCTTTACAGCAATATGTTTGTGACGGCCTATTGTTAAAAGTGGTTCAGGCCCAGTTCTTGATAAGTTTCGAGGTGCAAGGTTTATTGGCCTTACAAGCTTGCCCCGCCGCGGTGGTCTAGGGGCTAAGGTACTTGGCTGCTGGCCCGCAGGTTGCGGCATCGAATCCAGGCTGCGGCGGATGCATCTCCGATGGAGGCGAAAATGCTGTATGCCTGTGATCTCCAATTTAGATGCACGGTAAAGAAGCCAAGGTGGTCGAAATTTCCGAAGTCCTCCACCATGCTGTCTTTCCTAATAATATGGTGGTTTTGGGACGTTAAACCCCACATATCATAGAAATGGCCTACAAGCTTGTATAGGCGAATATTTCTTTCTACTGCTTCGATGTATTTATAACAGTGTTGGCCTCTAGGAGCGTCTTGAGTATCTCAACGTCTCGGCAAGCTTGTTCAATTTGTTTTTTTTTATCGTGGAAGCCCAATGCTGGCGCATGTGGCGTGCCCGTGTGAGTCAAACGTTTACTTGCGAACCTATATACCAAAGTGTGTCCAGGTTTTGTGCTAAGTGTACTGAAACTAAACGGGATAAAAAATACATGTTGGCTTAAGTAACAAAAAGAAATCCAGGCAGCAGGAAGCATGTGTGCGCATTGCTCGGCAATCGTGAAATTGTGCTGTCATACGGTAGCTCAACTATTGCAGATTACCTGCTTTCAAAAGCCAATATGCATTTATTAACAGTACTGGTGTAGGTGTACTCAATAATGGTAGTATTATTAGATATGCTCTCAAGTTTGCATTTGTGCCTCGCCACACCTCTAATATAAAAGTAATTTTGCACTACTTTGCACAATACATATATAGTTTTATAATGCTTATTGCAAACTCAGAACTGTTGGCATGTGTTGTATAGATAGATCAACAGAGACTGTTTTGACAGGTACACTGACTGCCGATAACAAAGCAGAGCTGTTTTGTTTGTGTCACGTTATACCTTAGATATATTATTATGCTATGAGCGATTGCTTTCGTACTTTCCGATATGACGCATTTATTGGTTGTTACTTTTCGCCAAAACTCCCAGCGTGCTTACCATTGTATTCAGCTGCACCTGATTTCATCATTCTGTACAGGCTTCTACATAGCTTTTACATAGCTTCTACAATACAATTTTTTCTTTCAGAACTAAGCACTGAATGTCAAGCGCTGAATGTCATTGTTTAAAAGAAGAAATGTCTAGGCTATGGCTCCAGATTCTTTCTGGTCGCATTAAACAGACATTGATGATAACTGGCAAAAAAAGCAAAATTCTACAAAAGCGAAGTGTACTACGTTTTGTTTACGTTCGTTTAACTATTCTATATTTTAGTGCGCTTTAATACTCATAATAACACAAGGTAAGTGTGTGAAGAAGTCCCAAGCACCGGCGTAGCTTAGTGGTAGAATAATGGGCTGGCACGCAGCGGACCCGAGTTTGAGCTCCACTGTGTGTTTGGTACTGTGTACTAGGCTTTCTTTCTGATTTCGCAAAAGTGGTTACAGATATCGGTGGCGGCAGACAATTCCGGCACCGCGCGTGACCCGAGTTTTGATCTCATAACAGTTTTTTGTGCTAAAAGTTATACAGGAGGGGAGAAAACGCACTGACTAATACGAAGCGTAACAGTTTCACATCAAAAACGATGTACCAGACCGGTGTCCCGGAAATACCGCCGCAGTTCTGCGTTGCCTTACAAAACTGGGATGGACATCGCCATGGTCCCAATACTTTCTAGACAAGCATTTTCGTCCAGTTCAATCAGTGTAGAGGTGAAGCCCCTCTTCTGCATATTCCGGGCAGTAAAGGTCTTGAAAAGCCTCGTTGATGGCACAGTTATTCCACTCCGCACTGTCAGCCATCCCAATCTTAAATGAGGAAGATTTGGGGAAGGCTACGTCCTGACGCAGAAGGCACAACACTGTACCTTCCTCTCTGGAAAGACCAGGGGGTAGCCGCTGTTTATAGATAAGTCGGGAGAATACGTTCAGTTATGTGCGAAGTTGTATCATTAGGAATTTCTAAAACACAGCGGGAACCATCTGCACACTCAAAAAATACTGGCGGAAAAATTGTTATTGTGTTGCAGAATAATTCATCAATCAGTGTAACAACAATATGCAAATATGATAGTAAAAATGCCTGCCAACGTCATTTATTTACCTTTATTGTGAAGTCTTCCGATACACTGCATAGAAAATTTTTTAAAGCCTCATGCTTTTTCTTCCGGGGCTTCCAGAAGGAGAAAGACTTCGCTTTGTTTTAGACTTCTCGCCAGTTCCTGAAAAGAAATAAAACTTGAGTAATCTTTCTTTTTAGATATTGGTATAACACGAAAATAAAACGCGTCGTTACGGAGGTATTTGAGCATTTATTTGTGTTATTTTGCAAAAGAGGCGAACGAATTAATGGTACAGCACGTAATTGCAATGTCACGCGAAGAAAGGCAAGCAGCTCAAAACTTGTAGCGCGAACATCAAGCAAAAAGCACGATTCAAAGTAGCATTTCTTAAACTTCTCCATGGAACTGGAACAGTTGATCAAATGCCAAGACACTGATATGCACAGTATTAGCGGCCGAACAACCTTGTATGTCTCTCAACGCCTTGACAAAACCTGATCTCACGCGCGTCAGGGGCCTCACTGAGCTAGTCCGCGAAATCGTTAGGGAGGAGCTGCAAAAGCTTGGCGAAGTGTCACGGCCTCAAGTGGGTACTCGGACGGACATTGCCCGTGAAGAAGTAGGGCAGTTGGTATGACCAGTCATGGCGCCTCCTGCTGAAGTACTTCTTCTAACGTTTGCGAAGCATTTTTGAGCAAACTTCGGCGACTTAGAGCGCATCTATGAATCTATCTATCTAGCAGCCTATGAATTTTACCAAAATTTGTATGGCATAACATGACTGCATGACGAACATAAATGACTAGTCTTAACATGAAAATCATGACGTGTATGTCATGAATGTAATTATTTACACCTTGCTGCTTTTGCGACGGTTTCGTTCACATCACATGTTGCAAAACTGGTATGAATTGACATGACTGCATGGCGAACACAAGCGACAAATTCTAACATGCAAATCGTGATACGCGTGTCTTGTAACAACATGAATACACGCCGTACTCAGGATGCGCTCACTGTGAATTCGCTAGCTCCGCTTATACCAAATTTAGTATTATGGGAGTTGAATGGATGAAAAAAGTATGTAACTGGTGCAAACATGATAATCACGAGATGCTAGTCGCGTAACAACATGACTACATGCCACGCTAATAGCGTGGTCGTGGCCATTTCACTAGTTCCACATATACCAAATTTGGTATTACGTGACGTGAATGGACGATGAATGTAAATGACAGGTCCAAACATGATAATCATAATATGCGTGTCATGTAAAACATGACTACATGCTACGCTCATAGCGCGCTCACGGCTGTTTCGCGAGGTCTACATATACCAACTTTGGCATCAGGTGACGTGAATAGAAGAAAAAGGTAAATGACACGTCCAAACATAATAGTCGTCAGACGAAAGGTATGGCAAAATTTACATCCAGCTCGCAACGTTGTGCTGACTTCAAAGTAATATATCAACCTTTTTCATTCGTGCTTCACATATCATCGATTCCTAATTTACGTGGGATCTGCCATTTTTTCCCCTGACCGACTAGCGTGCAGTCGCCGCAGTACTTCTCAGGCCCGCCGCACCATGAGAACCCACGAAGCGAATTCACCCTCATCCCACCACCATCCAAGTTCCACCGAAAGAGATAAGGATAGAAATTTGGACACGGTCAGGGCAGGCTATCCCCCAAGTCAACAAAGTCAAAATATTAGACATTTCTGGAGAAGAGGATGGTAGCATCTCTCATACGTTCACCAGGATCACGGTGAATGGGGAGAGCATGCTCAAGCTTATACCGGTGTCGTACAGGCATTTTTATTCGCGATTAGTGCCAATCCGGATCAACCACGATGCACATTAGGTGCAGTTACACGGACGATTTTAATCGCGATCAGGCCCGATCAAGATCAAGACTATCGAATTCCGCGCATCGCGATCAGGCTGAGATGTCGCAATTTGGTGTCGTTTGCACCGAATGGCCGAGCTTGTTGGAAGCAAAAGAAACAAGGAAATCAAGCATACTTATGTAAACAGATTTGCAAAGCTGGTAGTCTTTTGAAAAACAGTTTAAGCTGTTTTAATTGGAAAAATATTTGTAATATAACATATTTTAAGATTCGAATTGGCCACATGTAGCTGGGGGAGAAGCAGATGATAAGCAGAAGACAAGTTCAACTCTCGCACCGTTGGAGCAGCTAGAGCGCCTCGAAGCAAATCAATTATTAGTGTCGCCAGCTTTTCGACTGTGTCGCAGCTATAGTGAACTATAGTCGCAGCTTACGTGCACTTCGTGATCGAATGAAGAGACCTTTAGAGTAATTGACCAATGGCAGGAGCACCTAGGAGACTTGAGGTGCCAGAACTGAAACGATGACACGTACAATGTGATTGACGCTTCGCTGCGACTGCACGGCTACGATCAGGGGCTGTCAGGAATAAAAGCAAATGGCAAGAATCTCATGCAGCAATACAGTTAAGTGCAAGGAAAACTCTATTGAGTGATGGATATATGAAAGCAATTTTGTAGTGGCCCGCAAAATTTTTGACGGTCGAGCTGATTCTCGCACGAATACATGATGCTCTTTTGGAAAATTATACACTGAGTTTTGTCAATAAAATGTTTTATGACACGCAAGTGCAACCAGGTGCATTTATTCTGACTCAAGCTCGAAGCGGATTAGCTCGGGCCGTATAGCAGCTGCTATAAAATTTATCGCGATCAAGAAGAACGATACGGATTGACCTGATCGTGATTAAAAGTGCCCGTGTGACACCGGTATCATACTACGGCAATTTATTGGGCATGGAGGGCTTCGTGAGGCCAACCTCATGAGGCTTTTGAATGCAGTTCTTATGAGTCACATAAATAACTTTGCGACAGTACTCAGATAGCAAACATAAAAAGTGAAATTAGATGCTATTATTAGAAAATGCGTTAGGAACGCCTCAAGCATTGCAAACAACACTTATCAGGGATAACTCAAGGCTCTTGGTATGCTTAATACATTTAACAAGACTCCAGAAGCGCAAATACAACTCGAGCTACAAGACTGTCCTCTTCCAAGGCTGGCAGGCGCACCATAGAGTTCTTGAGCTTTGTGCCCACTTTAATAGCAGACGATGAGGTGCAACACCCTGCTAAAGTGAGGGAGAAAGTTACGGTGATACAAGCTCGTAGAAACGGTCACAAACAATGGAATGTAGCCCGCCGGGTTTCTAGGACTCGGTCACTCTTCAGTTCCGTTGCTGCCACTCTTGCACTAGTGACGTTCGTTGACGCAGCACAATACCCTGGAAGGGCCAATTTTGTATTTATGGTCACTGACCTTGATGGTGAGCTCCTCATTGCAGCATCTCTTTTAGATACCATGCCGGCCATGGTTGAGCCTGCTGCTGAGTCCACTAGGCCGTTTTTGGGCATTCTATTGAAAAGCGCAGTACCAGCTTCACACTAAATTGTAATGCATGATGTGTATTTTTTGATGATGTGGCTGACGACAATAGCGAATTATGCTCGAGGCTACTTTTAATGCGTTAGAGCATTTGATGTCCTACTAATTAGGCTAATTGAATTGCCTGACACCAGGTCGTTTTTGAACTGTTTTGAAACAGTTAACACATTGTTAACGCGAGTATGAAGGCTGCATAAAGGGAGTTTGCAACGGAGTTTGACGCACAGGTGTTGATTTCATTAAATAAAGGAAACATCACAATGGCGGTATTTCTAGATATTAAGAGAGAATTCGACTCAGTTAGTCACATTCACGTGCTGGCGGGGATGTTAGAACTTAGACTGCGTGGTCGGTCACTGCGATGACTTTCAAACTTTTTGAGCAATAGGAAAATATACATGTTAACAACTGAAGGACAAAGTAATTATCATTTTGTCTCACACGGCGTACTACAAGGGAGTGTTTTAAGCCTACTCTTCTTCAACTGTGCGATGGTGCCGTTACCGGAAAAGTTACCAAGCGGATTGAGGTATTCACTAGACGCAGTGCTACAACGTAGTCGTGAGGTAGTCAACAAATGTCCGAACAGAGGCATGAGTCTCTCGTACGCAAAAACAGTGGTACGACCTTTCACTGGACGACATATTGTTACGGGGTTGCGTCTAGCTACGGCTACATCTATGCAGGGTGGTGCGGAGAGGACGACGATGTGTTTGGTGTTCGAAAAATACACAACGGCTGCCATCCTGACTGGTGTTCTATTTTTCTGCTCTAAAGTAGTAAATACATTCGCAACATTTTGGTGGTGGTGCCAGGTACTACGCAAGATGGAACTTTCCAACGGACGTGTTCTCGACTGCCCGACCATGTCAACAGAAACCATCTCTACCGCTCCTGTTTTAGCCGCGACTACGGCACAGCCTGTACAGCCCGTCGTATTGACGCAATAGCGTGACCCTGGCAACTTCTGCGGCGCCGACCACGTTGACGTTGATGACGGGATTTCGAAGTTCGAGCGGTTTGCAGCGGTCTACCGGTGGGACCCTACCATGATCCTCAGCAACGTTGGCTTCTATCTCTGTGGCACAGCAGGCACGTAGTTCGAGGCTCATGAAGCTGGCATAAACAGCTGGGATGCTTGCAAACACAAGCTTCGTTTGGCAAAGCCATCTGTTTGGCAAAGCCATTGGACGCCAGTGGGCCGCTTCTAAAGAACTCTCATGCCGGGCACAAACTACGAACAAATCTTATGTCACCTACATCCATGACGTTCTTGCCCTTTACCGTCGTGTCGACGCGAACATGACCGAGGAAGATAAAGTAACCCATTAGCTCAAAGGCATCGCGGATGATGATTTCAACTTACCCGTGTCTAAGGATGATTGATTTGTAGGGTTTAACGTCCCAAAACCACCATATGATTATGAGAGACGCCGTAGTGGAGGGCTCCGGAAATTTTGACCACCTGGGGTTCTTTAACGTGCACCCAAATCTGAGCACACGGGCCTACAACATTTCCGCCTCCATCGGAAATGCAGCCGCCGCAGCCGGGGTTCGAACCCGCGACCAGCGGGTCAGCAGCCGAGTACCTTAGCCACTAGACCACCGCGGCGGGGCCCGTGTCTAAGGATTGTTCGACGTTTGACGATATTATTAAAGAATGCCGCCGATTTGAAGACATGAAGAGTTGACGAGTCAACAGTGATTTCTTGCAACTTCCGAACACAGCCGCTACTTCATCTTGCGAGGACCTTCAGCCGTCATATATTCAAGCACCTACCAACAAAAGCGTAGCTCGCATTGTGCGTGGAGAAATCGAGGCAGCGTCTCCACCATCTTTCCTGACCCGCCCATCAGAAGATCGACCAACGATCTCGTTGATCCAGAGGCTGGAGGAAGGAGCTGGCAAATCTCGGACTGCAAGCCTTATGTTTGTTGACGGATCTTAGGGTTAGTACCAAATGCCGTCTCCTGCACCGGAAAGATTCCGCCGCTATAGTGATCCTGCTCAGTGGAAAACGCCGGACGACAGGCCAATCTGTTTTTATTACCATGATGTAGGACACATCTCCTGCTACTGTCATTCTCGCACCTATCCACCTCGCTCGTTTTCTGGCTATCGCCGTGACAACAACCACCGACCCCTGCAGTATGACTCTCGTGACGATAGACCATACAATGGCGCTCCTGCGACATCAGTCCGCCGTTGCAGCCGTTCACCGTCCCCGCGTGATCATCTCTCCCGGTCACCTCAGCACCATCGTTATTCGTCACCTCGCTCTACTGGAAACCCTTTCTCGGAAAACGGAGCAATGAAGCTCCCGGAGGTGACGATGCGTTGAACTCCTGACCTGAAAACCCTCCCCTGACCTCGACTACGGACCAGAATCTGCTCGACGTAGAAGTGAATGGCCTTCCTGTTATCACACCGGCGCACATATTTCAATTCTGAGCTCTGACCTCCGTGCACGCTTAAGTGGGGTCCTTACGCCACCTGAGCCAATGTTTGTACATGTCGCTAGTGGAGCGATTGTGGCTGTGCTTGGAATGTACACCACACGTGTAAGGTTCGCCGTCCGCCAGTAGTCTGTTCTGTTTCATGTTCTCACTCATTGTTCCTTATGACGTCGTCCTCGGACTCGATTTTTTGTCTGACCACTTCGCTGTAATTGACGGCTCAGCCGGCGTCTTGCAACTTGACTTGCCTGCGCCCCCCAACGCGTCGAGGACGGTCCAGAATAAGCTTTCTTGTACCAAGTTTGTTCGCCTCCCACCACAAGCCTTAACTTGTGCCACAGTTGAGCCATATCCCAGTGTGCCAGATGGGGATTAGGTGGTCTCTGCCTCTCTTTTTGTTTTACTGACCCACAACATTTCCTCTCCGTACACTCTTTCAACTGTTAGAGCGAACTAGACGTAACTTCCTCTTCTGAAATTCGGACAGTATGAACAACTTCAAACTCACACCGGATAAACATACGTTGATATTGGTGAAAGAACACAAATTTCTTGGCGTTACCCTTGATAGACAGCTGTCGTGGCATCGCACATCCGCGCTCTCGATAAAGGTGCCAACATAGGTATAAACGTACTACGTCGAATAGCTAGCACAACATGGGGGCGATCAGTCTCTTCACTACTGCAAGTGCAAGTCGCAGTATTAAAGCAAAAGATTGCACATTCAGCACTGATTCTCCAGGGTTTCTCGAAATATACAGAGGAGTGCCTTCAGAGATTACTGGTAAGGGGGTTAAGGGTATGCATGGGAGTCCCGCAGGCAACATCGTGTTTTCTTGTGATTGCCGAAACTCGTCATTCGCCATCCTCCGTGATACGAACAGTCGAAACTTGTCACCATATTTTAGCTTTTACAACTCAGCACGAGTCACATTCACTGAACCTCGCATTTACAGAGAGAAATTAATGTAAGCTACACAAAATTGCGCAGGAACCTTCACCTTTACTACCTAGCTACAAGGTAAACATAGTAGATAGTAATTTTTTTTTCTTGGACACTGCCGCGGCGGAAAACATAGTTGAAGGTCGAGGGAATAATATCTAAAATATACATGTTCTTGACAGTAGCGCAGCAGCTGGCACTATTTAAGATTTATTCTCTATATCCGCAGTACATTCACGTGTATACAAATGGTTCTTGCAATGTAAGCTCCTCCTTTCAGCTTTTGTCATACCATACTTGGCAATAAAGCAAACATTTAAAATATGCAAAGTGACGTCTTCTACTGCTGCGGAAATGTTTGCAATTCTATCTGCGCTACGCTTTATAACATTGAAAAAAGAAGGCACAAAAATTGGTCACATTTAGTCATTCGAAGCTAACTCAAGCGTCGCTGCAGAGCGATAAAAACCTGTTTCAGAACGCTTCTCTCTTATATAAGACCTTAAAAGAACACGCAAAAGCAAGCAAAATGAAACTACGTAGTCGAGTTTTAACAGATTCCACGTACTGCGAAATTACAGAAAACTATGCAGCGCACGCTACAGCCTATAGGGCACAAAATGACGAAGGCAGATTTGTTCTGCAAATTTCACAAACTGAAATGCGTTTCTTTCTCAGACAGCTAACCTTAATTTAGCATAACCAAACACAAATAGTTTGACAAAAAGTTTAAAAGTTAAGACTTTTACCCTATAGACCCTTGCATGAAATTAAGCATCCCATCAAAGTTAAGAAAAAATAGAAGATTTGAAACATTGGTCTACCACCTACGGCGTAGTACATCATTTACGCGACACTTCCTACGCACGATAAAGTGTGTGCCTAGTACAGAGTGCTTCTGCGGCCACCCTAACGAAGGTGTACCTCACCTGCTTCTTGAGTGCCCCAAGTATGAAACACAAAGACAAGTATTACGAGGAAGTTTGCAACTTTCAGATAGGAGGCCCTTCACAGTGATGAAAATGCTACATCCATGGTCAACTGCAGGTCTTCGGAAAAGAGTTCTTTTTGCCTTCAAGATGTTTCTTAAGGAGTCAAATATTTCATAAAAATATTGGCCTACCGTACGCATTGTGGTCTTCATGCAAAAGGAATTATGTAATATTTATATAGTGTGTTTAGTATGTGCAATTTCTCGGTCTCAGGGGGAACTGACCTTGTATGTGTAAATTGTGTACGTATATATCCATTAGCCGAATATGAACTGTCACGTGAGAAGAACTGGCCTTGTGTGTGGAACATATGAACCTAATAACTGTATGTGAACTGACCTGTGAGCTTTCATAAACGTGTACTTTCACATCATATGTAGTACAGACTCACATTCTGTGCCCTTGTTGATTTTACGGCATACCTTGCCTACTAATAGATAACGAGTAGCTGGCGCCACCATGATGGCGTCAATCTTTCCTATTTGATCATTCTAATAAAAAACGGTGTTTGTTAGTGGTAGAGTACTGAGCTGCCACGCGTGGGACCCAGGTTTAATTGTGATTCTGTCCTCGGTGTTCTTCATTTATTTAGTTTTATCTCTTATTTTGCGCTATAGTAACTATGAACACCGGCAGCGGCTGACAACTACGATTCCAGAATCGGCCCCTGTGCTCTCATAACATCAGTCGCTGTTATTTGCGGAAAGTCCGCGGAAAATTTGCGGAAGTTCGCGGTACTACAGTTTGTTTAATGAATATTGGCTTGCGCGGGCATTTCCTTAGTTAAACCGACTTAATGAACATGTAAAAGTAGTTTTCAATAAATATTTACACATAAATTAGGAGGAACGTTTTGTACAGACATGAGGAAATTCATTACTGATATTCATAGTCATGTAGTCAAACGAAGGGTAATTTATGAATTTTGCACTGGAAGTAAACGCTAGAGGCGTGTCGTTCTTCGATAAGGTACACGTCAAGGCACCCCAGGAGATCGATGTTTCTCATGTCCTACACTACGGCGTGTTGCATTCTGCTATCATGATTCGCGGACATCAAACCCCAACACTTGCATCACTGCCAGGAAAGTGGCAACTGCTGGAAAGTGGCAGTTTGTGAACAGAGTTTAGAAAGCGTCATGGCAAAAAAAAAAACGCTTTTGCTCTTTTACACTGTCATATATCATAGTACACTGGTGCTCCATCGCAGGCGTATTAAAAGAAGGAAGATAGGATATGTGTTTTGTTAGCGGCTGTTTAAAATTAATGATTATGCTTGCGTTACAATATACTGCATTAGAGTTTAAGGTTGTAGGATGATTCAAAACGTTGAGCAAACCTTGTAAAGAATGCTTCCGAGTTGTACGATGACACATTGCCTGAGTATTTGCGTACCCACGCTTGTACACGGTGCTGTCATTGGTGACAGCAATTTGTCTCTTCAGCTCCGGCCGTACTGCACTTGCCAACATAGGAAATCCAATCGAACTACCAATGCAGGAATCCCGTTTTTGTACTGCAGGGAAAATAAGTGCAAGCAGGGCACTAGATGCCACTAGCATAAATCTGGAAGTGTATGCCATCCTGAAGAAATTGTAAAATGATGCCTTGTTTTCTGCTGGTCTTTTTTTAGCACCAAAACAATCTGAATTTTATACATAGCGCGTGTTTTAGCAGCATAAGGCTTCCAGCTAGCAGGTAGTTATATCACATTGTGCGTGGAGCGAAGTATGCTAAAATATCCACTACAATAGTTATAGTTTGAATGTTCTCTACGTGAGCGGAAGCTTTGCACTGGCATGCTCTATTTAATTGAATAACAATTCACAATGGTGCGTTGTGATTCAAGCATGGTTATGTAATTTTTACTAGGACATGCACTGCCGGAATGGTCGAATAAACACATGTATATTTACTTAACGAGCAATTGAAAGTGCCTCAATTTTGTACTTGCGCTAGCTCAAGGATCCATGAATATGTTGCTGCACTGACAGCAAGAATCTATATAGCGTTATATTTACCTGTAATACAAATCTATTTCCTGGAGAAAGTTGGACAGTAGTATTCATGTGGTTGAACTGGCAAGGCAATTTGGTTATCAGATGTCGTAACTTACGACCCCCTGAATACGCTGAGCTTGCCCACTTATCTGGGTGGAAATAAGCTCATGCAGTGCTTTTTTACACATTGTTAATTGCCGCATTTCTTTTCCGCCAGTTGTACTCTGGACGGTGGTAAAAGCCCATTAAAATGAAAACGATGCTATCAAGTTCCATTCTAACCGCCTGTTATTGGCACCATAGTACGAGATCGTAGAAATCTGCACGCCTCGCTGTATTCGTTTTATTCCTCCCCACCTGTACAATTATGATCAAAAAGAATTTCGCGCGAACGCATTTTGTATTTTGTAGGTATAGGCGTTGAGCGGACGCAGTGCTTGTCTTTGTCATTTCACTTCATTTATATTCTTCCTCAATATTTTGAGCCATTTTTTTACTATTAGTAGGATTACTTCACAAGTTTATTGAATCTAATTAGTGTGTAAGTTCAGATACATGCTGGCGGCAACCAATTTCCGTGTAGCTTGTTACCTTATGAAGTACTGAATAGCAATACTGAGCGAAGCATGACGGCGTCATTGTAATGTCGGGTGGTCGTTACCGCGAAGAAGACTGCAGCATGGCTTGGATATACAATACTCAATAGTTTTCCGTGCTTCTGTGCGGAAAAAAAAAAACGTCGCGTACAAGCAATACAGGTGCTATACTGATAGCTGCGTGAACATTCGTCGGCTGTTGAGTGATCTGATGATCGCTGTGTAGTGATGGTCTGTTTTCTGTTCTGGCTGCTGCATCCAGATTATCATCCATTTTTTGTTTATTCCCATCCGTTGAAGCACCCTGTATTTTAAGTGCGGAGAAAACATCGGTCGACGAGTCACTATGCCAGGCTGAAGAACCCAATGGCGTCGCATGTCTCCGAAACATTCCATCTCAACAGTGCTCCAAAACCCGGTACGACGCCCACCATCCCTCCGTTTCTCACACGAAAGGGTGGCCATTTGCGGTTGTGGACGGCTGTCCACAAGCATGGCTTGTGCCAATCGTTCCTGGCCTGCTACTCCAGACCATTTGTAGTTCTTGACCACCTCAGTGACGTTACATACGTCATTTACAGCATCACAAGCACTGGTCGGCACTCTAGGAAGACACAGCTGACACACGTCGCGCGCCTCAAGCCGTATCACTGACAACCTTCCTATTGACACACCCAGTGGGCCCCGTCTGCGAACAGGAAAATGAAACATCCTTGATGGTTGTATGAAGAGGACGAAGTCGAAGTTATACTGGCTTGTGAGCAGCTCGGTCTCCAATTTTCAGCTCTCAGCTGTACCTCTTGCAATCAATTCATAGGATAAATAAACGCGTTCCTTCGTCGTAATACCTATACTTGTGCGCATATTTCGTGCGTTCTTTAAATTTGTGCAGCGCGTTGATTGAGGTGGAACGTCATCAGTTCGCGCTCATCGTGTGTTTCTTCTTTCTGTGCGTTATTTGCCCCTGAGCTGGGCGCTGCATGTTTTAATGAGCTTGTGCTTCTTGTGGCACTCCACTTTGATGCCATCGCATTCATTGCTTCGCCTATACGGAAAATATGTGACTGCGTCTAAACAGTCTAATATTTCCTGGTGCTCCCTTCACCTAACGTCATTTATGGACCTGTCCAACGTTTAGTGTAATGAATAACCCAAACTTCCCAAACTTCATAAAAAGTGACCCTGAAAAATTTTGGTACCACTTGACGGATAAAAAAAAAGCCTGTATCCGAAATGTTAGTAAATGAATCTATTGTTACGGACAAAGAGACTATAGCTGAGCATTTCAATATATATTTCCATAGCGTGTTTACTAGCCCAAGTGTATATCCATCTGATGTTCCATCGTTTCGCACGACACAGGCTGACTTTGCTTCGTACCTGGGTGTATTTTCCATGCTCTTAAAACTGAAAACTAAGAAATCAAGCGGTCCTGATAATATTCCAAACACCTTTCTTTGCCGATATGCTGAAGTGATAGCAAAATAACTTGTGATTATACTCCGTGTATTTTTGATATCTTCAAAGCTCCCTGGTGACTGGAAGGCAGCCCGAGTTGCACCGGTATTTAAAAAAGGTAACCGCTTGCTTTTTGAAAATTATCGTCCAATATCCTCAACATCAGCCTGCTGTAGATCAATTGAGCATATAATCGCGCATCATATCACCGAATATCTTGAAAAAAGTGCTGTCTTAACTGATTCTCAATATGGTTTCATAAAAGGGTTTTCATTTGTGACTCAACTGCACACTATATCTCATTCCTTTGCATATACTCTAGATAAGAACGGTCAAACTGATGCGATATTCTTGGATTTAAGTAAAGCGTTTGACAGGGTTCCTCATGACAGACTAATACTAAAATTGAACAATATTGATCTTCCTCGCATCTTAGTTTTCTGGGTTATTAATTATTTGAAAACCGAGTTCAGTACGTAGAAATTGGGGATCAGCGATCGGGTTGTCTTCCTGTCGCCTCTGGAGTACCGCAGGGGATTGTCATGGGACCCCTATTTTTCCTGCTGTATATAAATGACATTGTAAGTGTAGTATGTTCATCTGTGCAAATTCGTCTGTTCGCAGACGATTGTGTCTTGCATAATGAAATTACTTGCCCGGAAAATGAACATGACCCTAATCACAGTTTGTTTGATGTTTTTTAATGGTGCAATCGCTGAGGGATGGCTTTGAACTTAGATAAACTGTATGCATGCGTATAACCCGCAAGAAAAATCCACTTCAGTATACTTATGCATTAAATGAGTCATCTCTACAGCAAGTTTTTGAGTTCAAATATTTAGGAGTAACACTCACAAGTAATTTATCTTGGAATCAACATATTGACAATATCTCCGCTTCCGCCTTCTGTAAACTGTCTTTCTTACGACACAAATTAAAAAGCGCTCTTCCTGATGTCAAACTTCTGACCTACCAATCAATAATCCGACCAAAGTAAGAATATGCATGCATAATATGGGACCCGTTCACACAAAAAAACGTCAATAAACTAGAAAGAATCCAAAGAAAAGCTGTAAGGTATATATACTCTAAGTTTCGTCACACTGATTCGCCTTCTGAGTTAATTAGAGCTAATGGCATTGAACTCCTTGAGTCACGACGGAAGACATTTAGGCTTAATTTTCTTTCCCAAGTTCTTCAAAGACAAACAGCACTTGTCCCTACACAGTACCTGACACCCATATCGACGAGGCATACGAGACACCATCACCCCGGAACCCTAACACCTTATTTTGCACGGACAGATGCATTTAAATTTTCTTTTTTTCCACGAACAGTGGAAGAATGGAACCTTCTAAAAGACTCTGTTTAAAGATTCACTTTGGTTGATTTACTGTGTGTAAACAGTGTGTTGGGTGTGTAAACCTGTACTTGTATGTTGAATTCTTTCCTTTTTCCTTTTCTACGGGACTTGAGTGCCTAACATGTACTTGGTACATGTGCCGTGCCCACCTGCTTGGACTTGTGAAGGTCTGCAGTATGCATTAAATAAATAATTAAATAAATAAAATAACTATTCGTTGAAAATATAAAACTTGCAGCGCAAACATGACCTTGAAATTATACAGTGAAAAACAATATTTGTGTAAAAGCGTACCTGAGCAGCGTCATGACTTCGCGTAATGTTTCTTCCTGCTGCCAAATGTCCTTCCCATGTTTTTACATGTATACGTGATCAGCACAAAAAGGCCGATTGGAGTTTATAGGAGAAAATAACGAGTCAGTTCACAACCAGAACCTTGAAAGTTTTGTAAAAGAGGTAACATATGCACACAGCTGTACGTGTGTTATCATTGTCCAGGAATAAATTACCGCATATGTAAAAACATACAGCTGGAATATTGTGAGACTTCGCGCAATAAAAGATTGTATGTGCATCGCACTGGCCGCACTGGCATTGTTTATACTGACAATCGAAAAGAGTGAAACATTTTCTGTGGTCGCAACAATGTATATCGCGCCAAGTATGCGGGCTCAAAGCACAGGTGATGTAGAGTGAGAATCGCGGATCAGTGCACAAAACTAACTCAAACAAAAAGTGAATTATAGCTTATTTTTCTTACATTGTTTAGGCTACCCCACAGCTGTCTGACATCTTTACTATTGTGAGATTTGACCTATAAAAGAAAACACATCGATAAAGCTACTTTGCCTCCATGAAAGTGTACCGATAACTTAGTAGAAACTTTCCAAACACACGCCGTACACCAAAGTATGAATACATAGCAGGCGTGGGCTATCTAAGGGGTTAATTTCAGTCAGTCGTCTAATTTGTATCATATTCACATACTGCACGACAGCTGCTGACTTGCTCTTCTGCTAACTTCAAACTGCTGCAACGGCGTTTCCTGTAGTCTTTTCAAGTACATCGTTTCATGCATGTTTCACACCTAAAACTGACCCTGGCTTAGAGCTTCCATACATTTTTTTCGAGGAGTTATATCGTGTACATAAGATGCGACATGGTTACAAGGTAGTGCGATATGCGTCTGTCTCATATAAAAGCAACTTTTTGTGACACTCAGAACAATACTTAGGTGAAATAAATAAAAGGAAATCACATGTGTTGCGAATACTTAATCTTAATGCCGCACAATAAGCTATATTCGTTGCAAGCATCTGGCACAATGTGCAAGAACATGCCCTGTTCAGTAAAACGTAGACCATCTATATTTTATGATTTTTAACGGCGAAGCTGCTTATATGAGATAATTTCCCAGGACTGTCGGAGCAGTGCCACCTGTATTTTATGAAGGCCAGCCAGATGCGTCCAATCTAGCCGTTCACCGCCCACCAATCCAGTCATTCTCTGCTCTGGCCCATCGTCTTGCCTACGCATGTGATTCGCGGTAATAAGGAAGAGAACGCCTAATGTGGTGCCTTACGACAGAAATTATAAAAACATCAATTTTGGTTCAGTTGTGTATACATCCGTGGGACAGCACCTTGCATTAGGAGTAGTAGTAGTAGTAGTAGTAGTGGGGGTGGTGGTAGTAATCGTAGTACTTTATTTGGAATGCAAGAAAAAGGATAAAAAAGGAAGAGGCGTTTCATACGCTTGACAGAAGCCTCTGCACCTGTAGTTTGTTGCAAATATACAATTTTTTAGGGGCAAAGCTCCTTAATCCATGAGTAGTGCGCCAGCGATGGATGTAGTCGTAGTAGTAGTAGTAGTAGTAGTATTAGTAGTAGTACTGGTAGTATTAGTAGTAGTAGTAGTAGTAGTATTAGTAGTAGTAGTAGTAGTAGTGGTAGTAGTAGTAGTAGTAGTAGTAGTAGACTTTTATTCAGCCACAATTTACAGGCTGAGCATTTCGACCACCTGTGCGACCAGTCGGCGCTGTTCTTCCCCTTCGGCGCCGATCCAGTCGAGCCAGGAGGTGATGGAAAAGGATAGGGGAGGGTAATAGCTGGACTGCTGAGCAGCTGGGCAGTAAAACAGGCAGTGTGACGGGTCGCCAAATGGGGAGGGGCGATTGGAACAGCAGGGGTTATACCTATATTCATAAAGGAAAAGGCGAGAGGGGGTTATCAGGCAATTCATTTGGATGTGCTGTAAGTTCGAGCCTCGAGCGTAGTGAGTGATGGATGAGAGGGAGGGTAGAGACACTTGTCGAGCCGGAGCTGGAAATACACCTCCTTAATTTTGTGACGCAAGGAGATCTGCCCATCATTTCTCGCGGAGCTCTCACTGTCTTCCGAAGTTGTGGGCCAGGGAATGAACGGTGCCCGATGCAATATATTGCGAGCAAGCTGATGAGTTAGCCCATTTCCGTTAATACCTGAAAGCCCAGGAACCCAGCGGAGGAAAACAGTGGAAAGTTGAAGAACAGAGACCACTCGCTCGACATCCTGTTGAAGGGCAGAAGGCAACGTGTTGTTCTGTATGTGACGGATGGCGGCGTGAGATTCAGAGTAAATCGTGTACTCTTGGTGAGAAGGGAGGGAGGAAAATGACTACATGGCATGCACCATGGAAAGGAACTCGAGTGAAAGTACATTTGGCGGGTGCAAGTATGGGCCGCTGGTGTGCGTGTCAGGTGCCGAAAGGTGTGGATGGTGGATAACGTAGCCACACGAGCCCCGAGGAGCCATGTATATGGCATCCGTGTAGGCAACTTCCTGTGCACAGAGAGGAGGGGAATGATGTTGTGCTGCCGCATGATGCCGGCTGGTGTGAAGAACGGGAGACTTAATGAATGGGAGAGGAGGGATGCGAAGATTAGAAGCAGGGGTGCTAGCGGCAGAAGGCAACGTGGGAACGGAAACGGAAATGTGAGCGATACCCGCTTGGGCCAATAGCCATTGGCCCAAGCGGGTATCGCTTAACATACTTAACATACTCAAAATAGCCTAATAGAGCTATTTTGAGTATGTTAAGTTGCATTTGCGTGAATTGAACGAACGGCAAAAAGTGCAAAAACTTGTTAAGGGCGAGTGCATGTGCAACCCGGCACGCATGAGCCTCGTGGAGCCCTGACTGCCGAGTGACAACGCGTCGCAGGAGGTGAGTCACCGAGTGGCAAGTCCTCAAAGCGTGATGCCTGCGCATTCTTTGTCACGTGCAAAGAGAAGCCAAGAACTTTGCATTGCTGAACAGTGGGGATGAGAGAGCTAGAAAGATGTAGGGAGATGAGGGTTTGTGGGAGCGCTGGCACGCAGAGCGGTTCAGAAAAAGTAGCTCAGATTTCTCCGGTGCAGGCGACAAGCCATGAGTAGCAAGAAAGGAAGCGATAAGGTCCAGGCTACGTTGCAAAATATCCTGCACGTGGCCGGTACATTAAGACGTACACCAGAGAGTTATGTCGTCTGCATAAAGGATAGGGTGGAGATCAGGTATTTAAGACAGTTGGGAGGCAAGGCGGGTTATAGCCATATGAAATAGAGTAGCAGATCAAACGGTACCTTGAGGGGTGCTGCGGGTGAGGGAGTGTGGGCTAGACAAATGAGCATCGACTCTAAAGCGAGCCACTCGATTGGAAAGAAAGGACTGGATGTAAGAATACATGCGGGAGCCACATGACAGGGAGGAGAGCTGAGAGAGTATGTGGTAATGACTCACGCTTTCGAATGTCTTCCGCTCATCGGCGGTTACAAGAGCATGAATCAGACTACGAGAAGGTGAAAGAAAAGTGTGCTAAAGAACAAGGAACATGTCCTGCGCACATACACGGCGTCAGAAGTCGATAAAAAAGGAGGGAAAAACTCTTTCGCCCTAATAAAATCAGACAGTCGAGTCAAGGCCATCCGCTCTAGAGTCTTGCCAACGCATGACGTCAAAGAGATAGGGCGAAGGCTAGAGAGAGATGGAGGCTTGCCCGGCTTCGCAATCATGCAAATTAGGGAGGAAGTCCAAGAGTTTGGAAGAGTGCCGCTGTTCCTTTCTTCGTTAAATGTGTGTAAGAGAAATTCTATCGCGTTGTCGGGGTGATTACGTAGCGTAGTATACGTTATCTCATCCTCCCCGGGAGCTGAGCGGGTAGAGTGAGAGGCTAAGGCCGCTTCCAGTACCCTGAGCGTTAATGGGTGGTCCAGGTCAGGGTTAGCTTTGTCACAGTAATCTGGGTAGGAAGGCGTGCGGGGAGAGGGGGTTGGAGATACAGAAGTTTTAATTTGTCAAAAAGCACTAGCATGGAGCTCTTGAGTGATAGCTTTAGCTAGGGTGGGAAGAAATGGCAGGCTTAGGAACTCAAGAGAGACCTAAACAGAGACTATGTAGAGCACGAGTGCAGTGCGGAGTCAAGGCCGTCACACAGCGTGTTCCAACGAGAGTGCTCGAGGGAAGTGCCGTAAGCGATGATATCAGTCCACAGAGCATTCATGCGGGAGGAAAGTTGGACGTTATGTGGCTGAGAGCGAATAGAGCGTTTCAAACGCTGATGACGTCACCATAAACAGAGGAAGAGAGGATCTGGGTCTGGAATGGGGAGTCGAAAATGAGCGTGGCCACTACAGGATGTCACTGCTGCGGAGATCCGCGACGTCCAGTCATCGTAAGTTTCAAAGAAGTCAGACAAAAGGTTATGCACGGGTTGCTTCCCAGTCAGTTAAAGCGACTCGTTGTTTCCACCTATTGTGGGAGCGAAGGGGTGTTCATTTGTATAATATAGTGATCACTGAAAAGGTTTTCAGCTGACGACTGCCAGTGAAATGGAAGAGAATACTGAGACAAAGTGAGATCGGGTGTAGTGAAGCGCTGTGCAACAGTGCCCGCTCGAGTAGGGGTGCGAGGAGTATTAAGAAGGGTGAGATGGTGTTCCTGGGTGAGGCAGTGTAGAAGGTGACATGGTTTGTGTGTTTGGGGGTAACCCAACAGCCTATGACGATCATTAAAGTCACCCCCAAGGAGGATACGGGTGGTCAATAGAAGGGAGGGCAGGAATTGGCCAAGAGCACCGAAAGAAAGAGGATGTGACACGGGGTTGTAAAAGCGCATAAGAGCCAAAGAAACACTAGTAGATGATTGATAATAGAACACATCACCTAAATATTCCAGGAGGGTGGAGGGTACTTCTAGTGGCTCAACGAGAACGTGCTTGCGTACAAAAATGGACGCAAGTGGCGTTCCCGTCCTAGCGTGATAAGCACGGTAGTCCAAGACGGTAAAGACCGTCCGAGTCTCCCGTATAAGAGGAAAATGGGGTTAGGTGTGGCGGCTGAGAAGATATTGTTGGAGAGGGGCCGATTATGACGAAAGTTGCGGCAGTTGCACCACAAAATTTCGAGGTCCTTTTCATGCGCCATCTAGGTCTTTGAAGTAGAGGGGGCGCCTGTGCGTGC